TGGAGTGCAGTACCACAATCATGGCTTACTGCAGCCTCAACCTCCTGGGCTCAGGTGATTCTTCCACCTCAGCCTCCCAAGTACTTGGGACTATAGGTGCAGACCACCACACCTGGCTATTTTTGTGTAGAGACAAGGTCTTGCTATGTTGTCTAGGCTGTTCTCGAACTCCTGAGCTCAAGTAATCTACCGGCCTCGGCCTCCCAAAGTGCTGGGATAACAGGAGTGAGCCACTGTGTTCTACTGTTAAAGAGGAATTTTAATTTTTTATTTTATTATTTATTTATCTATTTATTTTTTGAATTGGAGTCTCACTCCGTCGCACACTCACGGCCACCCCAGCATTGACCCACTGGGCTCTGGCAATCCTTTCTCCTCAGCCTTCCAAGTATCCAGAACTACAGGTACACGCTACTACACCCAGCTAATTTTTTTATTTATTGTAGAGATGAGGTCTCACCAAGTTGCCCGGGCTGTTCTTGAACCTGTGAGTTCAGGCAATTCACTCGCCTCAGCCTCCCAAAGTGCTGGGATTACAGACTGAGCCACTGAGCCCGGCCTAGAGGAATTTTTAAAGAGGGAAGCATGGCAGTTTGGCAGCAGAATGGCAATAGCATCTGAAATCCAAGCAAGGAACAAATCCAACCACCCTATTTTAGGATTGATATTCCCTTCTGGCACTAGAATTTCCTTTGGAGGGCCTAAATTCCTTGTCTGCAAAACAAAGAAAATGGACTAAATCACAGTCGTATTACAGGGAAATATGGAACTTTGACTTCAAATCAACAGACCTGGTCAAAAAGTAGCAGATCTGCCTCTTGTAAATTATATAACTTGAAGCAAGTAACACAACACTTCTGAGCCTTTGACTCATCTGTAAAAGATGCATTTCATGGGACTTCAGTTGGATTAAGTAAAACAATGAATTATAGCCGGGTGTGGTGGCTCACACCTATAATCCCAGCACTTTGGGAGGCAGAGGGGAGAGGACTGCCTGAGCCCACAGGTTTGAGACCAGCTTGGGCAACATGGTGAGACCTCATCTCTACAATTAAAAAAAAAATTAGCTGGGCATGGTGGCGCATGCCTGCAGTTCCAGCTACTTGGAAGGCTGAAGCAAAAGGAATGCCTGAATTCAGCAGGTCAGGCTGCAGTGGCCATTAGCGTGCCACTGCACTCCAGCCTGGGCGACAGTGAGCTCTGACTCAAAAACAAAACAAAACAAACAAAAAAACAGTGAATTATATGAAAGTCTGTGAATTGAAAAGCACTATATAAATTTGGTATCATTCAGTTCTTCAGTTAAATAAGTGATGACAGATTTTGAGACCGTAAATTAAGACAACAGTGATGCTACTAACAGAAAAGGGAAAGCTAAAGACAAAGTTTAATTCAAATGGAAGATTAAATAGGGAGATATGGGGCTAATAAACCTTAATCTCAAATATCTTTTTAAATACATGTATTATGTTAATAACAGAAAACAATTACACAGTCTCCTTATCTGTGAAATAGTTTTTCACTTTTCTCTGGCTTCTTCTCATTTTTTTTTTTTTTTTGAGTCAGAGTCTCACTCCATCACCCAGGCTGGAGTATAGTGGCATGCTCGTGGTCAACCTGCTGGGCTCAGGCAATCTTTCCGCCTCAGCCTTCCAAGTAGTTGGAACTACAGGTGCACGCCACCATGCCCAGCCAATTTTTTAATATATTGTAGAGATGAGGTCTCGCCAAGTTGCCCAGGCAGTTCTTGACCCGTGGTCTCAGGCAGTCCCCCACCTTGGCCTCCCAAAGTGCTGGGATTACAGGCTTGAGCCACTGGGCCCAGCCCTCTTCTCATTTTTATCCATCATATTCAAAAACCATTTTTGAAGTATGTATTACATGCCGGGCACTGTAACATAAAAAATAATACTACAGCCTGCGCCCAAGAAGCTCAGATTGGAATGGGAAAGAGTCTTGTAAACAATTACATTAAATCAGGGTCAGGCGCGGTGGCTCACACCTATAATTTCCGCATTTTGGGAGGCTGAAGCAAGAGGACTGCCTAAGCCCGAGGTTCGAGACCAGCCTGGGCATCATAGTGAGACTTCGTCTCTACAATAAAATAAAAAAACTAGCTGGGCTTGGTGGCATGTGCCTGTAGTTCCAGCTACTTGGAAGGCTGAAGAAGGATCGCCTGAGCCCAACAGGTCAAGGCTGCAGTGGCAGTGAGCATGCCATGCCACTGTACTCCAGCCTGGGCGACAGAGTGAGACCCTGACTCAAAAAACGAAAACAAAAACAATTACATTAGCTGATTATGGTGACACATGCTTATAGTCCTAACTACTCGGGAGGTTGAGGTGGAAGGATTGCTTTAGGCTAGGAATTTGAGGTTACAGTAAGCTATGATTATACTACTGCACTCCAGCCTGGGAGACAGAGACCCTGTCTCTAAAAACAAACAAACAAATAAAATAACACAAACCAAAACCAATTACACTAGAATGTGGTAAGAATTACAGGCACAGTAATCACACAGTGTGATTGATTTTTGTTCTGCTTTTCTAAAATATGTATTATATGTAATATATGTATTTGGAGTCATTAGATAAGTGATCCCTAAAGCATTCATGATTATTAGGCTACCAAAGGAAAGATCATGTAGAGAGGTGAAGGACTGAGCTTCTACACTTCAAGGCTAGAGACAAAAGTACTATAGAAAGAGACTGAGAACATATATTTGGAGAGGGAGAAGAAAATGGGTTTTTTTTTTGGTGTATTTATTTATTTATTTAATTGGATCCTCATTCTCTCTCAGGGTAGAGTGCAGTGGCACACTCATAGCCATTGCAGCCTCAACCTGCTAGGCTCAGGTGATCTTTCTACCTCAACCTTCTCAGTAGCTGGAACTACAGGCACATGCCACCATGTCCAGCTAATTTTTTGATTTATTGTAGAGATGAGGTCTCGCCAAGTTGCCCAGGCTGGTCTCGAACCCGTGGACTCAGGCAATTCTTTCACCTTGGCCTCCCAAAGTGCTGGGATTATAGGCGTGAGCCACCGCACCTGGCAAAGAAAAGAAGAAAACATTAGTGTCGCAGAAGCTAAAAACAACAACAACAACTTTATTTTCAATATAAACACATACATACAACCGTCAGATCAAGAAGGATGAGAGATTCAGTGGAGATCACTAATTACCTTCTTCAAAAGTCTCGTTCAGCACATGCCTTGTAGTCCCAGTTATTCAGGAGGCTAAGGCAGGAGGATCACTTGAGCCTAGGAGGAGTTCAAGACCAGCCTGGGCAACATAGCAAGACCTAGTCTCTAAAAAAACCCAAAAAGTCTAGTTTAGTCAAAGCAAGAATAGAAAAAAGCCAGATCAAGAAGGCTGGGCAAGGAGTGGGTGATGAGAAAGTGATGAAATGGTAAATCTGGCAGAGAAAAGTAGTTAGAAAATCAAGTGGAGATTTTTCTCTCCTCTGTCAACACCCACTTAGAGATCTGCTCACCATTTTAGACTATGGAAATAGAGACCCAGGGAAATAATAATGGAAAACTCTTGTATGATGTTTAATATGTGCCAGATACTATTCTAAGCACGTTACACACATTAGCTTGTTTAATAATTTACTTTTACCTAGGAGGTAAATGCTATTAATACTCTGATTTAATCAACTAACTGAGCCTAGATTTAAACGAAAGCAGTTGGCTTCAATTCATGTTGCCCCTGAGACTAAAACAACATAAAAGAATCTTTAGGAAAAATGAAAACTTGCTTATGCTGTCACAAAAGGCACTAAAGCTTGAGACTTCTCCTTAAGTTTACCCTAGGATGGGCATCACCTTTCACCCTACAATCTACAATATGTTTAACCAGGGGACCGTAAATGGTCAAAATGAAATTCCATCGGCAGAGGAATGTAAGTATGCTTTCCTGCTCCTGCCTGCTTCTACCTTTTTGGACATGCTTTCTTGTCTGTCCAGTTCTTAGAGGTGTTGCTACCAGTAACTGGGCACCAGTAGTCAGGTAATTTTTCTGAATAGTTATTCATTCAACAAATATTTGAGCATCAACTCAGGGCCAGACATTGTGCAAGGCCGACAAGACAAAGGTGAACAAGACAGACAAGATCCCAGCTCCAGTTCACTTAAAATGTATTCTAGTGGGGGTGGGGGATAGAATTTACACTCCAGCGAAAGTTAATAGGCTAGGGGGGCATGGCTGGAGCAGGGTAAACAAAGGGGACATGGGAGACTAACGGGAGAAGCAAGTGAGAGTGAGGCGTTTGCATTTTACCTACCAAGTTGCAGACTTCCTTGAGCACTTTATCCGGTCAATCTAACTTTCTTTCTCTCTCTCTGTCTCTCTCTCTCTGTCTCTCTCTCTGTCTCTGTCTCTCTCTCTCTCTCTCTGTCTGTCATACACACACACACACACACACACACACACACACACACACACACACAC